ATGCTGCAACATGTCTGGACACCAGCAGGAAACACTGCTGCCCCCCTACACAGCACGGCAGGAGAACACCTTGTTCTAGTCATTGAAATGAAACAAACAACAGCCAACCCCTCTCAGTCTAGAGACAAAAGGGTTTCACAGCTGTTTGAGCCCTGCAGTAGTAGCAGTGGTGATTACTTCAGGAGGCTCTTGAAGATCACTTGATGTTTTTGTTGGTAGCAATGCAGCCGTGTTGTTATAAATGCACCTGCTTAATTAGTTCCATTGGAAAGTCATTCATATCCCTGGGGTAAGCTAAGCAACAAACATCCCCACGTTTCTCATTCTTCACAAAACTGTTTTCAGGCACTTCAAGGCTTTGGCCAGGTAATGACCAGTGATGGGCTGGGAACCATCACTGCTTGTAAAATCACAGCTTCATCTGTGCTGCTTCCAGTTGGAGCCATAAAAGCTGTGCTCATCTCCTCCATCAGGCTTGTGCTCAACACCTATGCTGGGCAGGGCTGGAGAGCAACCCAAACACAAAGCCCAGGTCTTGCCAAAGGGCACACACACAGTCCTGCACACATCTCTTCCATGGGCTAGACAGGGGATAGCTGCATTAGAGCTGCACAGCAGCAAGGGCTTTGCAAGCACAGAAGGATGCAGACAAGTCCTTTCAAGATGCCAAAGAGACAGGGCTCTACTGCACCAAATGGAGGTTGTGACACAAAATTGAATAAAAATTCAAATGACCAAAAACAGAGAGAGAACAAAGCTTCAGCTGTCACGTGTAGGAAGCTAAAGTGCCCCTGTGAGCCAGGAGGAGGGAAGGAATGGCATCACACACCAACCTGCCCACTACCGTCCAGCTGCTGTCACCAGCAGGAAGTGCTCGAGGCCCCTCACTGCTGATCAGCAGCACAACAGGACAGGCTGGAGGTGCACCCAGTGTCACCAAGGCTGGTCTCACCATCTAGGCAGGAGCGCTTTCAACATCCCATGCTGGAGCCAGTGAGAGTCATCTTCCAGGCTGGGGTTTGGCAGGTATTAAGCATGGTGAAGGTTGATCCCACATCAAGCACATACCTGGCTGCCACTCCCAGCAGCCTGGGCTCCCAGACCGCATGGCTGAGCACCAACTACAGATCTTCCAGTTTCTCTGGCCCTTTCATCATTCCAGACATGCAGCACCAAGAAAACCTGGCAGCTCATTTGCCTTCAGAAGAGTTGAAAGAACCTGACCAATATTTATAGCAGCAAATCAAGCTAGCAGTCCAGAGGCTGCTTTAAAAAATAATTTAAAAAAAAAGCAACAAACAAACAAACAAACAAAAAACACAAAAAAACCTGAGGCTTTTCTGAGGCCCAGATTGTTCACTATTCATCAAATGGGATTCCACCTCCAACCTTCAATTTTCTGCATTTTTTTTTCCGAAAATATGGGTTTTTCATTATTGTGAGGTTTCGTTTAATGAGGACACAGAAAGCTGAAAAAGGAGAAAGAGGAAAGAAACCAGAAAAAATAAAATTTTTTTGAACTGCAAAATTTTTAGCCGGCAAAATTTACCCTCATAGAAAGCTGCAGAGGAGAGGACATCAAAAAAGCATAATACATAAATGCACAGATTCCTCCCTTCTTGACCACCTGGGCACTCTGCTGGCTCACATTCATCCAAGCATTGACCAGCACCCAGATACAATCCTTCCACACTGTCTTCCAGCCACACTGCCCCAAACCTGTGGTGCTGCCCGGTCTGCTGTGACCAAAACACAAGACCCAGCACTTGGTCTTGCTGAACTTCATCCCACTGACTTCAGCCCAGCCATCCAGCCTGTTCAGACTCCTCTGTAGTGCTTTCCTACCCCCAGGCAGATCCACACTTCCTGCCAACTTGGTGTCATCTGCAAACTTACTGAGGGTGCATTCAATCACTCAATTCCCTTGTGCAGGATATCCATAAAGACATTCAACAGGACAGGCCCCAGTGCCGACCCCTAGGTGTTTGTCCTAGGAAGCAGTGAAAATGGTTCTGACAAGCTCTTTGCCATATCAGGCAAAATATTGTAGGGAATACCAATAATCTAGGTCTGAAGTGGAGGGGAGGGATAGCAAGCCTTCCCATGACAAGGTGTAGGATGGCATAGATTAGAGTGACAGGATGCTGGCAGGGGCGTTGAAGGACCTGCTGCCTCGAGATGTGCTGGCAACACTATAACACATGAAATCCTATGATGATGAGGCAAGGGCTACTGGGGGCAAAAGGAAGAAGGCGACAGGGCAAAAATCAAGGGAAGTACTTAAAAGAAATTAAGGAGTTATCCTTTAAGAAGTTGACAAGACCAGCTGTCCAGATGAAGTGCCTCTACACCAATGCACACAGCTTGGGAAACAAACAGGAGGGAGCTGAAAGCCACCGTGCTGCTAGAAAGCCACAATATAGTTGCTGTCACCAAAGCCTGGTGGGATGATTCCTGCGACTGGAGTGTGGCTATTGAAGGCTACAAGCTACTCAAGGCAAGGAAGAAGGGAAGGGGGTATTGCTATCTATATTAGGGAAGGACCAACAACACTTCAACATGCTCCAGTGTCCATAAGGAAACATCACGACACCTGATGGTGGACCGTTGAACTTTGAGCAAGCTCAAACCTGAGCTGCTACCGGTCCTTGAAGAAGATATGCCTCCAGAAGGAACATCAAGCACTGGCCAAGAGAACCACAAAATACTGTCAACAGTCGTCTTCAGTGCCCTAAATCCTACATCACGATAGGTATTGTGTTGCAATGTGCACTGTACTTTGGGTTGCCAAAACAGCAGGAGCTTACCCCCAGCCTGCTCAGCCACGAGTCATACTGCCAGGGGTGCAGTGCATTGGAACTGCCAGGTCACAGCCTGAACCAACGGTTGAGCACCAGGTGAGAAGACGTGGCCAACCCAGGGAGCAGAGGTGCAAGCAACGTACCTGAATGACCAGAAGGGGTGGAGCCAGGATCCACCTCCCCTCATCCTCATTTGAGGGTCAGCAGCTGGGGGAACAACATCTCTCTAGATAGAGATTACAGTCCTCTAAAGCTGCCAATGGTCATTAGAAGGGGTGAGCCAGTTTTCCAATTTGCTACCTGCTTATTGCTCCATAGTGCCTTTATCCCATTAGAAAGCACTATCATCACCTTCTTTTGCCATTCACCGATATATATTCCTGAACTGGTGCTATAGATGTAAGTTCCCAGGGAGGTAGGCACCCAGCACCTAATCTCAGCCAGGTTTGTGTTATGGAAATCATTTTTCCCCCAAACTCCTCTATAATGGAATGCATGCCTAGGAACTGACAGATCGCTGTAAACTATAGATGTTTTGGCTCCAGTGTCGACCAGAGTCGTGACCTGTTGTACTTGTCCCAGAAAAAAGTACACTGTAAGCTCTTTGTATGGACTCTGGTCCCCAAGGAGGCTCTCAGAGGATCTTGGCCCTCCCTTCAAGCCATTAATGTAGCCAGGCCTAAATCTTGTTCACAGGGGACCCGGCAGTAGCCAACTGGGCTGCGTGGGGCAGATGCCTTTGCACAGCAGGATTCTAGAATGTCCTCTGAATTCTGTGGTTGGGTGGGGAGTCTTTCTATTCTTCATATACTCTCCTTACTCTTTGAGGAGGGCTTAAAACATTAAGTTGTCACAAAGCCAAGGAAATGGATTTGGAGATGGGAGGTATCTGGTCATTCAACACAATGGTGAGAGCTGGGGGAGGCTTACGCTCCTTGGATCACAGAGAGAAAAATTCTGAAGAATGAAGACATAAGGAGAGTGTGGACCACAGCTGGAGGATTCACAAATAAACCATGCACCCCAAATAAGGCTGCTGAGAAAACCAGCTGCATTGTACCTGAAAGAAGTGGGAACCGGAGGGAAGCTGTCTTCAGGGAGAAGGAAGAGAGGCCTTTCTCAGATCTCCAGCAAACCCATGAGGCAACATCAACCCCTTAAGGATGAAAGGGATTAAGTCACAATCTGAGAAGAGACAGAAATTTGTCTAGAGTCATCAGGGGAGGAGGCTCAGTATGGGAGATAGGAATGCATTTGAGAGAGGAACCACTTGCTCAGGAAATCAGACCTGCACCTCTGTACCTGGGCACAACCATGCTCATCTTGATACAAGCTGTTTCCTTGGCCTAATGTGGACACTGCTGAGAGTTGGAGGTGATTGCAGGGACCTCTCTTGAGGACGCTGTTCTACAGTCTCCAAAAACAGTTCATTCTTAGCAACCCATCTTGACAAACATTTCTGCCTTGGAGACCATAGTATCAGAGAAGAGAATATGGGTGAAACTTTTATCTTTCAGACACTCTCAGATCTTTCAGCACTACCTCTGCTCAGCAGGTCCTGTTCACTTGGTTTTTACTTTTACACCACCCCATTAATGGAAAATACTACCTCTATCTGCGGAAGGAAATGACCTGGGATCTTCATGACTCCGTTCACCAGCTCTAGTTCAAGATGAGCGAAACCAAAATCCCTCTGCAGTGCTGCATCTCCAGCCAGCACCCAAACACCAGGGCATCTTCCAGGACCCAAATAAGTTAAGGTTTGTATGGGATGGCCTGGCCAAAAGAAAGAAGAACACAGGTGCTGATTTTGGCTCAGCCTCTCACCAGCTCAGACACTGTAACAGAGCTTAACACTGGATGCAAACGTCAGCTGAGATGGTGGCAAAACAGCCAGACAGGCAGCCTTACATTTCAATGCCAGCAGCACCCTAGTAAGCCAAGTTAAAGAAACCATAGGTCTCTGCATCAAAGTTGGAGACTACAGTGTGACTGCATTGTGGGCAGAGCTGCGACATACGGCCATAAGCAAGTCACCATGCCTCCAGTCAGGATCCCTGTCCATGAGAGGCAGTTTCAGTATCACCTTGCCCATCTCACAGAGCTCCAGCTAAGATCTCCAAGACACTTGCTCAGTGCTGCAACTGTGTGACTGGTTTCCTATGTGATGCTGTGTGACTGCTGAGAAACGTACCAGTAAGGTCTGTGAAGGGCCTCCAGCTGCAGAAGATGACTAGTTGCAGCAGCACCCAAGACTTCTTAGGGTAAGCTGGTTCACTGATGAGATCCACATATCATCACGTAAGGGCAGCATGTGGTCTTCTCTTCAGTCAGTCCCGTTTTATCAGGTCCAGCTGTACCAAGTCCAGAAATGTCACGGTGTGATGAGAAACATGATCACGCCAGGCTTGCTCTTCAGCAGAGGCCACAGCCTCAAGTAAGTAGGGGCAAACCAAAATCAAGCCCTATGGATAAGCCCTACACTTTCCCAGAATTGTTTTTTCTGGCTTTACCTGATTGTTGCACTAGAGGGTACTGAGTTTTTGAGCACATACCATGGTGGCCCCTCGATGGGATGGACGGGTGGATAGACTTCCATCCCTGTAAAGCAAGATAAAAAAATACAATTAAACACGGAGCCTTCTGTGAACAGTACACCTCTCCTCCACTTGGAGTGGGATCACCACCAGCCAACATGCTGCTTAAATAGTGCCAGGACCCAACTGAATACTACCAGCTGCAAGACAACAAGCAGTTTGTCCTACAGGGACACATAGCAGCTTTATGTCACGACTCAGATTCAAAAAAGAAAAGGCTCAATGCTCAGGGTGAAGAAGGCATTTAAGTTCCTCTAGGTCAACAACTACAAAGTCCCCAGCCGGAACTTCACTGCAGGCTTGACACAACTGCAGAAATCCTTTAATTTAGGCACAGGGGCTAATTTTAACTAACCTCAGGAATTCCAGCTGATTTAGTAGTTAAACCGGTGCAGATAGAGATGGATGATGATAGCAATGGATGGATTGCAGCAGTCATGCTCAGAGTGCTAAGGAATTGACTTCAGAAAAATCAAGGTAAACCTTTTTAACTTCCATACAGACAGAGAATTAGCAATATCAAGAAAAATAAAATAGAGCAACAACAAAAACCAACCCTCATTAATTGTTTAAATCATACAGTTTCTCACTGGACAAAACAAGGAGGGTTGGTGAGAAAGACATCCTAAGATGCAGTGTGGCAAATGCAGGGCAGTGCCTGGAACAGGACTAAGAAGGGAAGGAAGATAATTTCATTTTGTGAACACTGATGACCAGACAAGCCGTTGTGGCTGCCCATCCCTACTGCTCACCCTCCACACGTGCAGAAAGATGTGAGAAAGAGTTCAAGCGGTCTCTAAAAGCCTTTCTGTGGGCTGGCCTGGACTCCCGCACATTATGTGTCTCACAGCCACAGCTCTCTTCTTCAACCCAGAGGCTCTCCTGCCCTAGGGTGCGTATAAGCTTAGACCAGCAAGCTCCTTCCTCCTAGATACACCAGTATCAGGCTCCAGCCCGCAGCAGAAAGGAGCTGGAAGGACGAGCAGCACGAAGGACCAGGAGCACTCTCCATTATGTTTGGCTCGTGCTGCTGTCTGGTGGGTCTAGAAGCCAGCACGTGTTCGGCATGGTCCCAAGAGCTACAGCTAAACAGAGGAGCCTGGAGCTCTACAAGCTACAACTCCCACCAGCTGAAACCACAGCTCATCAAAATCTCTGCGATGCTTTGTGCCCCCAGGATAGCTGGGAGAAGACAGAGCCCACACCCATGTTTAATGTTCATACATTAAAATCAAATCCACAAATGCCAACTGGATTTTTTTATTCCCCCCTCACTGCTTATACAATGTTCTAGAGCTCCCGACCCAGTCAGACACCCATCCTCTCCCTGCCGCAGCATTCCACCCTCTGTGGTCCCCAGCCTTCATCCTACAAGCATCCTTAGATCTAAGAGCAATGGCATGGTCCCTCAGATGGTTTTAGCTGCTATAGAATGCTTTCCCAGACCACAGTGGTCTGTTGTACACAGTCCCCTATTGTGCATAGAACCCCTGTGACACCCAAGTAAGCTAAGGTACATGACTGAGTGGTCTGAAGATGTAAGGGGACAGCTCTTATTAAACCCAAGATAGGTTGGGAGGGATAAAAGAGAGAGGTGCACACTGCTCAAGTCCAAGGGAAACACAACACCTTTCAAAATGAAGGTGGGTGAAAAAGTAGCTCACCACCTCCTGCAACCTTTTACCTCCTGCAACCTTTTACCAGCGTATCCCAAGCAGCAGCAACAACAGCAAGGGGAGGAAGGAGCAATGCATCCCTCAAATCCCTGGACAGGACCAGAGCAGCTTATTGCAGTGTGAGAGCAGCTCTGACCAAGCCTGTGCAATACTACAGTGAACTAAGGAAAGATGGCTGTAGCAGACATTTATTTCACTTTCTGCTGCTTCTCTCCCATCATGGCAAATTAGTAAGGTATTTGCATCTAAAAGGGGGACAAGCCCTCACAGCTAGACCTGTACTCTGAGGCCAAGGCAGAATTCACCAGGAGCCAGGCTAGAAAGTGCAGATAACACAGTGGTAAAATTCGCCACTGGATCTCCCTGTTCCTCTGGTGCAGTGGTGAAACCAGGTGGGATGGCCATGTGTGAATCCAAGGCTGCCTCTGAACTACAAGAAGAGGGATCAAGGGAAGAGCAGTGGCCCCTCGCCACCCTGCCAATTTTCACTGCTGTTAAATATAATAATCTCTGCTCTCTTTAATCTTGGCTTCTCCTCTGAGACCTGGCAGTAAAGGAAGCTCCGTAATGAGGTGGGGAAAGAGGCAGAGTAATTGCAGCAAGAATGTAAGCCCTGAGAGTTTGCTCAGAGCAAAGGGCAGAGAGCACAGGGAAACCCACCAGCTGCAGGAAGATGAAGCACTGGCACCTGTCTGGTGAGAAAAAGGGAGCAAAGCCAGAGGCTGGCTCACAGTTTCTTGAAATGAAGCAAGTGGATCTACTCCTGGCGGAGGGAATGGTGCAGCACCAACCCCAGGTTCTCCATCAGTACTTTCACTTTCTTGAATGCCGCTGCATTTGTTAGCAAGCAGGCAGCAAGGTTAGCAACAGGTACAGGCAAAGCAGGCAGCTGCTTGAGGCAGCAGATTGCCAGAGGTGGCAAAAGAGCTGGCTGCACACCACGGCCCTGCAGAGCCAGTTGCTATGGCTGCACCCTCACCCACAGCCTGGGAACGGCACAACCCCTGCTGAATTAGACAGCACTGACCTTCCCTGCCTTTCACAGCACCAGGGAGATGATGGAGATAGCTGCGAGCAGGCAGTCACTCCTGCTTACACCAGCACCAGCAGGGGCTGCTGGCGCAGACCGTAACAGCTCTGTCTGGAGATGCTATTGTAAAGTACCACAGTGGGGAGCAGGACACAGACAGGGTTTCCCTGGGTGCTACTCCCCACCCCACCCTCATTCCTTTCCATCCACGTTGCAGGTTGGAGTGGTTCACCGCCTGATCTTCAGAGTTCTCAATTACCTGTAGAAAAAAGAAGCCAGTGCATCTCTGAGCTCCTCCTGGTCTACTTCCCCCAGCTGGTATTGAAGGAACACTCTGCACCGACTGCCTCATAAGCTGGCTCTTCTAGTGGCTTTCAGTCATAGAATCATTAAGGCTGGAAAGGACCATTGAGATCATCCAGTCCAACCATCAACCCATACCACCATGCCCACTAAACCTCAGTGCCACATCTATAGCTCTTGAAAAGCCCCAGGGACAGTGATTCTACCACCTGCCTGGGCAGCCTGTGCCAATACCTCACCTTTCTCAGGAGAACTTTTTTCTAATATCCAACCTGAATGTTCCCTGGTGCAACTCTGTGCCATTCCCTCTTGTCTTATTGCTAGTTACCTGGGAAAAAAGGCCCACCCCCACCTTGCCACAACATCTTTTCAGGGCCTCAGCCCAGCAATCCAGTCAGTCCAGATTCTTCTGTAGGGCTCTTCCTACCCCCAGGCAGATTGACACTTCCCCCAAACTTGATGTCATCTGCAAGCTTACTGAGGATGCACTCAATGCCCTCATCCAGGTCATCAATAAAGATACCGACCAGGACAGACCCCAGCACCCACGCCAGGGGAGCACCGCTTGCAATTGGTCACCAGCTGGATTTACCTCCATTCACCTCCACTCTCCGGGCATGCAGCCAGTTCTTTACCCAGCAAAGTGTGCACCTGTCCAAGCCACAGGCTGCCAGCTTCTCCAGGAGAATGCTGGGGGAGACAATAAAGGGTTTACTGAAGTCTAGGTAGATCACATCCGCAGTGCTTTCCCCATCCCTCAGGAAGGTCACTCAATCATTGAAGGAGATCAGTCTGGTCTAGCAGGACCTGCCTTTCATGAACCCATGTTGGGTTGGTCTGAGCTCCTGGCTGTCCTGAATGCACCAAGTGACTGCACTCAAGACAATCTGCCCCATGACCTTTCCCAGGAGCTCCCCTGACTCTTCTTCTGACCCTTCTTGTAAATGAAGTCTCGTCTTTGCTTCCTTTAAAAAAAGCCACGTCTGCAGAGCATGGTTAACAGCTGGTTCTTCTCAACACCAGCTTGTGACCATACCTGAGCCAAGACAAAAAACCCCAAGCAAACAAACAACAAAAAAGCTGTTCTCTAGACTACTGGAGCTGGGGTAGAAAGTGCCACCTCTTCTCCAGGCCACAGTACAGCTGGATGAGCTGAGGCAAAGCCATAGATTGGGAAGCTGCATTCCAGCTTTGGGTTTGGGACCCTAAAGCCAGAGGGAGCTGTGTCACTCTGACAGGCAAAAAGCTAGACTATATCTGTGTTAGGAAATGACAGTCTTGACAGAGACGATGGACAGTTTTGTACCAGCTTTTGCAGGGTGCTGCACAAGATTGGCCCTCCAAAAATCAGATCAAACAGCCTTATAGAGCATCAGAAGTTCTTCAGAGCAAAATAACTGTGCTCAGTGCTGCCTTGGTGACAGGCATCTCAGGAATTTCCAGCATCCTTAGGCCTCCAATCTCCCACCTGGGCTGCCAAATTTAGAAAGCCAGTCCCATGGCCCACCCACCCTATCCCTATGACTGCAGGTACTCGGGCAGGAATTTCTGCCCCCATCACCTGGACTGCTCTCAAGGCACTGCACTCATGGACAAATCACTCCTCTGTGCTCAGATGAGCCCCTCTCCAGCAAAGATGCCTGACTGAGGGGAAAGGCAGGAAAAGCAGGCGTGTTTTAATATTCTCATCAAGCACACCTTGCTCCAGACACTTTGCAGCAATTTTTCCTTTGTAAGGTCTATCAGTTTCATAAATAGTACAGCAAAGGGAAGAAACATATCCTGTGATGACACAGGTCAAATAATCTCTCCCTCAGGAAACCAACAGTCTACAAAAAAATAACCCAGCATGTGAGTATTGATCTTCAAGCAGATGAAGTGACACTAAAGGCATTTCTTAACCACCTTGGCAGCACGTAGGTGCAACCATATTGAAGTAGGTCACCTGGAAGTGTTTTGCTCCACAAACCTGCAGGCTTTTAGCCTGCATTTCTCTCAGAAAAACACTTGGCAGTAGCCAGACAACACTTGCATGCCTCGAGCATGTTTGTCTCCTAACACAGAAAGTCAGTGGGATGGGGAAGGAGGTGCAGAGAGCAAGGCTTAACTTGGAGCTAATAACCCCCCTTAGGGTTTCTTTGAGGGAGAGGCACAAACAGCTGTGGAAGCATCCATGGTATTTTAACACCATATTGCAGTCCTCAGTACCAAGTCTTGGGAGAACAGACCAGCTCCATTGCAAATGCAGCTGGACCTCTCCCAGATCCCTCCCCTCCACCCCACACACTGGATCTCAGTCTGCTGCTGGGGCCCATCTGAACAGCTGTTGTTACAGTACACCCTCTGCTTCCCACAGCTTTGCTCCTTTCCAGCTGTGCCACCATGGCATGAGAGAGAGAACCAGGGAAGAACATTTTTTTTTTTTTTAAGCACAATGCTGCCATTTTCACTCCACATCTTTTCCTCACATCAACTCTGTATTACAAAACATCACCCTAACTGGGGCTTAACCTACAGCCAATGTGAAAAGAACAGAAAAGAAGCAGTAAGTGGAGGAGGAGTTCTGCAAAGTTTATCCATGTTAAATGCTGTCTTTCCCTAAGACCTCAAAAGGAGAAACCAGACAGCCTCTTGACCACGCTGTATTAACATATTGGACAAGACAAACTCTCCTTTGGTAGGATAAACCCCCTCTGTGAGGGCCCAAAGCTTCATTTTATTTAAAGCTGCTTTGGGGTTGGGTTCCTTAAGCTCTGCCACTACCACAGATAGATGCAAGACAAGGTAGAATGTCACAGAAGAGAAACTGATGTACAGCTGCAAAACCAAAGCCTGCTCTCCCAAAATCTCCTACGATCTGTGATTAAACCAGAAGAAACTTTCACAGGCTACTTTCCACAGTAGGAGCCAGCAGACCCACAGAGTCTACTGATCTTCCCTCAGAAGAAACTGAACAGACTGACACGGCGCTTCCCCTGCTGCATCAGGCCACGAGTCCTGGCTGGGGACTTTCCCCTGCACCATCCACATAGCTGCTGAGTTCAGGATGTTGCCCTTGGGCCACTGTTTCCCAGGTAGTGAGTTTGCTTAGTACAGGAAAAGCACTCTCAAGAGCTTGTATGATGGCACGACCGCTCCCATCTCGGTGGTCACAAGAGACAGGGGCAAGGCTAGTCCCTTGTCTTTTGCAGAAAGCTCTTCCTTGGGGGGGAACATGCAACAAGTACATTCTTCAGCCACAGATCTGCATCACAAGACAGACACAAAAAACATGCCAGAACAAAAGCAGTAATGTCCTCTGAATCAAACACAGTCTTTCAGAGAAGATGGGCAACTAGAAGAAAACAAACAAACAAACAAACAAACAAAAAAGGATATTCCTAGGTTTTCATAGGATAGAAACCATCTGAGTGCTAACCTGATTAGCACCAGGCAGCCTGCTGCACTGTATGGACCCAGCATTTATATTTGCAGAGCAGATTCACAGAAGGGCAGAAGCATCAACCCTTCAATGAGATTTTATCTTGTTACAAGGAGCTTATCCTCCAGGGATGACCTCACAGTGCTTAGCACCCTCAGAAGCTTGTAAGGCTGAGAAGGGAAGTTTCTCCTCCATTCAGAAGATCTGCTATATTTCAAGCACCAAAGCCTGGCTCTGGCTTTCAGATGGCTGCAAATGTGACAATGGAAACTTTACCAAAAACAGTGTGTTTTTGTAGGCACACATGAGGGGAAGTCTGGGTGGAACAGCTCCCAGACAGCTGCTAAGAAAATACTGACAGAAAGGGTGGAGAAAAGGAAGTGAAGCAATGCTAGAGCTCCATCCAGGCAACAGCTTAGTTTAACCCTTCTGGTCATCAGCTGAAAGAGCAGCTGCCACCATCAGCACACTGCACAGCCATGAGCTCTCAGAGCAAATGGGATTAACCTTTGTAGTACCACTTGTTGGAACTCTGCTGAAAAACCATCTTCATGGTTGACTATAAGCATTGTACCATGCAGAACATCGCCATACTCTCAGCCTGATGGGTGCCCAGAGGGCAGCAGCAAGTCATCAGTAGTGTGGAAGAGGCCTGCAGGGATCAGGCACAGTGAAGGAGACAGAGCAGTGGGTTTCCTGCTGTGTCGGGTTATTGCTAAGACAGGACTGGAGTGAGGATAAAAATCTAAAGGTAGTCAGCATGGAAACACTTCCTTGCAGATGGCAAATTCACAGACTCAAAGCCATCCAGCTTGTCTCAGTTGCTGCTAAGCAGGCTATGGGATAGCACGTGCCACAATGTCCCCAGTCGTTCATGGCGCTCACTCCCCACCAGACGTCACCCCACAGCTCCCTCTTCTGACACATACCTCAGTTTTCGCTCAGAAATGATCCCATTTAACTTCAAGGGATTGTTTTCTCCTCTAAAGCCAGGTCATTTTGATGGCTGTTGGTGTAGCACAAGCCCTTTGGCAGGAAAGTCCTGGGGAGCAGCACCTCACGCACCAAGCAGGGAGTTGCAGCCTCACGCTGAAGCGTCAGGTGGCAGCAATGGGTGCACTATGTAACAGCAAGGTGGTCAGTCCTCACATCCCCAGAAACACGGCTGCTGGGCTACAGGAAGGGAGAAGGTAAAGGATGAGAGACGTGTTCTGGAATGAGCTGACCCCTCTCTTCCCTGACACACTACAAACATTCAATTAGCTCTCCATCCACAGAAACTGCACGTCAAAAGAGGAAGCAATTTATATTCATCTCCAGCAACAAAGAGAACAGGGGATTGAAGAGTGATTTTTGCCCGCAGTGGCAGTTTCTTCACAGAGCTAGAAATAGATCCCAGCTTTCCTGGAAACACACATAGGCTTTCTGAAGCAGGCTAAATCGAGGTTGAACATACAGAAGAAAATGAGTAAGAGAATATTCTTTTTCATTACACTTTGTTCTTAAAGCTGACCGGTATGAACGATTTGAGAAGCATCTGCACTGTACCAGGAGACAATTTCTGAAAGCAAGGGAAGAAATGTAGCACCACTTCCGTGTCACAAGCAACAAACCTTTGCAAACTGATCAGTTTCCCTCCCCTCCTGCTCAGTCATGTTTCAAATAACCCTTTGCTTAAGAGCAGATCTTTAAAGATGTTATGCAAAGTGGTGAGCACCAAGAGACTTAGATCATAGTTGGGTCTTATTTTCTAATTAGCTGACAAACACATGTAACCATTATGCAGGCAGAGGATTCTCCTGGCCATCTCACTTCCTGGCCAGAAGAATCAATACCACAGTGCTCCAGTGCTTTTGTCTGCTCAGTTATGAACTCAACTGCTCAATTCCAGCTCTCCCACAGGAAGGGAAGTGGGCAGAGCATGAGGATTCCTAACTTTTTCGCCCATCGCAGTTACGTTGAACGTGCTTCATGCTCAGAGCAGCCAAAATCACAGATTCATAGAAATATTAAAAAGGCATTTGCAGCAGCCTCCAGGCACAACCTGCTTCCCCAAGGGACCAATCTCAGCACAAAGAACTGTTGCTAAAACTTGAGTGAGGTCATACATCTGGCAAATATAATGGCAACAAATTAAACTACTTTTTTAAGAACTTGGCTTGGCTGCCTGTGTGCCTTGGAGATCCAAAACAAAATATTTAACTCTTCGTAGCCTCCTCCTGCAGAGCTTACCACAAGCAGTTTTCATGCCATATCACCCTCACACGGTGTAGAAGCGATGTCAGGCTCCTTGTTCACAGCTGATCCATTGCTTCTCGGGTTAATGGCTTTGCAAATCAGTTACTGTAGATATTCCCCAAGTAAAATACAATTTAAAAAACAAACAAACAAACACAAATGTAAAAGCAGAAGTGGATTCAACTCATTCTGGAAGCTATCCTGACCTCAGCGTGTGGAAACATGGTGCTTCAGGGATGGAGCTAAGCACAGAACCCAGGGAGAAGATGGACAGGAAGATTTGGGCTCCTCAAATGTTTTTTTGAGCTTATTGCTCAAGAACGATTACTTAAAGTGTTGTGCTTTCCACATCTCACCTGCCTCCCAAGTAATACCCAGGTATTAGAAGTGCTGGTACATTTTAAGTCCTGATATTCAGCTCAAGGTAAGAGGCAATAGGAAGGGGACACTGAAAAGAAAGCATGCTGCCAAGATACAGGACAAAGAAATGATTGAGATGGAGAGCACTGTCAAAAGAAATCCCCTTCTTACCACCTAAATCACGTGGAACTTGGTAGATTCCCCCTTCCCTTAGCTCTTCACACGCACCCATGGCACATTACTTTTACAAGAACAGGTTTCATTGATCAAATGAATACTTCTAAAAAGCTGAGTAAGGAAAAGCAACTTCCCCTGCATCCCACTAGCTTGTCCTTCAGCACCTGAGCATCTCATCTGTTTTACAAGCACAATTATCTTTCAAACAGATTCACTTAATGTCTGAAAGAAAAAAAGCATCTTTATCAAATGTGCCCCGAGTCATTTGTACCTTATACAGTACTTTAGGGAGAATGGCAAATCACTTCTGTGGCGTCCAAGACATTAGAAATTACCAATTAAGGGAAGTTTAAAAATCGATGGCCGCTGGAACAGCTCGTTTTCACATCCTCTCCATACCCACACCTCAAAAGCCAGCTCACAGCGCTGGGGATCAGGTTGACAAATGAAGGTCTTGCAGCTCATTTTTGTCACTGTTTCAGAGGCAGGACAGGCACGCACATCAGAATCCCCTCCTCCCAGCCAGTCCATCACATCCGTTCATCTCAGCTAAAACGCTTACAGTCTCTCTCTCTCTCTCTCTGTGGAAAGCCACTGAAAGCTTATAGCAAGAGAATGGAAGTTTTTCAGTGAAGTGATTCCATTATCGTAATCTGACAGAAAATAACATTAATCAGACTGGGAGCTCAGAAACAGAAAACAATCGTGTGACAGAACACAGAGAAAACTCACATTTGCAATCCACCCAAAAAGCACGGAAACGAGAAAGCTTCACGCAAATGAAAGAGAATTAATAAAAATAAAATATAAGAACAGTGACAGTGCCAACAGGGGCTAAAGACATGGAAAGCACCAGAATGGAAAGAGCAAAAACCTCCTGGTGATGGCAGGGGATGCAAACAGCCTTGTCCACGTGGGAAGAGGATTAACACAGTCCAGACACAGTACAAGCAGACTGCAGCAGGAACAGGTGCAAAACACTGGTGTAGCCTTAAGGTCTGTAAAGCTCTGTGTGAAAGAAGGGTGCCAGCCAAGTCGCAAGCATCTGCGATGCCCACAGCACATCTGGAGATGGGGGCTTTGGAAGCTCTGGAGTCTGGCAAACAAGCGTGACTGTCACGGATTGGGAGAGAAGCAAACTCCCAATGGTTCAGAAAGTCGTGGGGAGGGTTTGGTGAACCCTGAGACACTCAAGTTCCTACAGCTCATTTCTTGAGAATGTACAGAACAGATTATTACAATAATTCGTGTGTGTTCGCAAAAGCTATCTTGTAGAGCAGTATGTACCACAAGTCCAAATTCTTTTGCAGCTACATACTGAACACCTGCTAAAGACCTGGAAGTCTTAGGAGCGTGTGATGCAGGGAAGGGGGTGAGTGATGAGCTGTTCAGCTGTAAAATCATCTGCAAAATGACTGAAAATTAAAGGCAGTCCAGCGTGAAAAGAGAAAAGGTTTCTGACTGCAGCCAGTGTGCTGCTATCTGGTTGCCTTTTCTCCCCCTCTCCCCTTCCTTTAAATTAAATAAATGGACAGATACAAAACAAAAGCTGCCTGACAATCCACCCAGCATCTGACCTAGCAGAACTAGGGCCTCTCCTCTAGCCTCAGCACAGCACAGTCTTCCACAGACTGTATGAGGAAGCAGGTTAAATCCCACCACTGGGCTAACCTCTGTACAAAATCAGCATTTAATCCACGCCATCAAATTTGCCAGGCATGAACTGGAACTTGGTGAGGCAGACCATTCAACAGGTGCTAACTAGGACCTGTGATCTGAGAACAGAGGGGAGCTCCCACTGGACAGGATATTCTGGGAGATTTTCCTTGAGCCACATAGCCAGCAACAAACCATCTGGCAGCTCTAGAATGCTTAAACACTTTAACTGAGCAGCAGCTAAGGCAGGAGAGATGAAACCTTTTCAGATGGTCCTCAAACCCTTCACTGGTTCCTACAGTACCTGGAAGACATAAGAAATCACAAAAATCATCCGCTCTTACAAATAAAAATCTTTTATTTTAGTAAAGTAACAAAGCTTTGTATTTACAGATACAGTAACTGTACATATGAATTAAAAATTGATTACTTTCCAAACCATTAAAGTCACCCAGTCTGTTGAGAATACAAACCCCTGCAACCTCCAAGGGCCTTCAGAGCTCCTCTTTCACAAACTCAATTCTCTTTGTTCTGAATTATTTTCTGCTGGTTCTCCAGAAACTCCTTCAGCTTGTTCTCCGTGAGGGTCAGCCTCTGCTCCAGGATGGAAACTGTCTGCAAAACAAAAGGAAAGCTGCCGCCGAGCCACGCAGAGAGACAAGCTATGTGCTGTGCTGTCAGAGGGCAAGGAATGCTATGTTCAAGGAAATACCCTGAGCTATTTCAGAGCTGTAGCACCAGGGTCAAGTGAGGAACCGTCCCAATGTAAGGCAGCACAGTGGGGTGACGAAGGCGAATTACAACTCAAACTGGCCGCACATACCTCAACATACGGCCTGAATTTCTCTGTGCAACCCAGTTACCTCACAAAGGGGTTGTTATTAGCTCCTCCTAAAGCTGAAGTCATCGTGGACAGAGTATATGGAAAAAACATTTTAACCAGGAAGCAATAAAAGCCTCTGCTGAAAATCCTTTAATGGACCATCCTTAGGTAACCAAGAGAGCTATCTGTGGAAAACCACTTTCAGATTCCAAAGATGCTGGAATAACTGATAATAGGCAGTAATTACATTTAATGCTTTAATACCCATAAACAGCAGTCAATAGCTTCATATTCTGAGCATTTTTACTGCCATCAATAACATACCTTGTCAAAAACAAAGGATGTTCAGAACCTCAGACTTCAATAAAGTAATTCAAACAAACTTGGGCTATTTGTATAGAGGTTATAAATAAAAAATCTTTAAATAGCACATTTCATAAGCACACGACTAAGTGCTTGACAAAAGAAAGCAGGTCTCTTTATCTCCATTTTATTACTGGGGAAACTAAAATGTAAAGAAAGGAAATAGTTTGGCTAAGGACAGTTGATAGGCCAGGAAACGACTCCTGCAAAACCATTTGGGAAATGAGAGGAACAGCTGGAAGGGATGAAGTGAAAACACAGGCATGGTGAAAGCACAACACCCAGCACTACTATGAAGACGTCTCTGTCAGCCACACTGCAACACCTCATCTTGACAAAGTCAGGAAGGGCTTTGCATCATAAGATTCACCACAATACACTTCTTTTCTCCCTCCAAACACAGCTCAAATCTTAGCTGAGGCTCCAGGCAGCATATCAGAGCTAATAGGGGCCAACCACACTGCTACACACAGCGGTGGAACAAAGCACAAACACAATGGACTTCAGAACACATCAAATTTGAGGAAGAGTTGCAAGGAAGGTCTTGTCTGCTTCATACTTTCATGTAATTTTCATTCCAATGAATTCGTAGTGAGCACTGTTTTGCAAACTAGAAAAGGAAAAGGAGAAAGATGGGAGATGCACTGAATTCAAAGAGCTGATGAGCACAGACCATTTTGAATACACAGTGCTTAAAATACGCAGTCATAGGAAGGTGTGGGAAAGTACAAAAATGCCATTACTGATACACACACACACACACCACACAGAGAAAGTAACTTCCACACAAAAAGGCTACTTCCTTTTCAGCTGACAGTTTTACAATGTTTCTATGGCCTATTCCCAAACCAAACCCTTGTTGGGAAGCAAATTAACCCATGTGTATTCAACTGGTGCTACTTTTCAGAAGGTGATGAGCCAACAACCCCAGGAGACAAACGCCACCAGCCCGGGTTGACCAGACGCAGCTTTGCACTCAAACTGTTTCCCTATGGCAGGATTACGGCAGGGAGGTGGTTGAGTCTCCATCCCTGGCTGTGTTTAAAATCTGTTTGGATGTGGTGCTCAGGGACAGGATTTAGCTGAGGGTTGTTAGAGTTGGGGTAGGATGGTTGGGTTGTGGATGGACTCGATCTTGAAGGTCTTTTCCAACCTGAGCGATCCTACGATTCTATGACTATGGGTTCTCAGTGTCAGAAGCCTTATCCATGTGTGCACTGCATACTGGAAAATGGTGGAGAGCCACACAGAAGAGACAGCATTGCATCATTTGCACTTTTTAAGGTCTGGAGAAAATATTCAGCTTCATCCTCCCCTAAGCTGAGACACGAAGCAGTCTTATTTGCTTACATGATGATAAACTTCCCATCTCATTCCCCCGTGTTATTGCAGTGACGGTGGCCCAAGTACAATCCTGCAACAGTTTCAGCTTTTATCAACATCTTCTCTTTAATTCAAATCAAATACTTTCAGTGGGGACACGGCCTCCAGGCAGAGGCTTTTGCAGAGCCCTGTGGGGCAGTCCAGCTGGCTTCTTTTGAGAATTACAGATAAGCAGAGCCCAGCAGCAGCTGAATGCCAGCAGAAACCAGTTCCTCCACTGCTCAAGGAAAACCCGAGCAGCAGAGCAAAGGACATTTGTGTTCCTCAGGTGACACAGACTCCTCATCATAGCCTGTAGCACATTCTGGAGAGCAACGAGACAAATCCCTGTGGTTAACCACAAGAGAGAGCAGTCCAGACAGAAGGCCAGTAATTAACTAAAACCAAGCACTGAGCACGGAACTGAGAGAGAAGCAGACCAGAGCATAAAAACATAAATAACGCTGTGCACACTGGGCTACAGGATGCCTAACAAGCCGGGGATGAGACAGGGTTTGATTGAGTAAAGGACAGGGGATGCAATGCTGCTCTGGTTGAGCACTGCGGGACCCTTCAAAACATTTATCTGCACAATGCTACTGGAATCAGGTGCTGGTTGTGCCTGCAAAGGATACAGCCAAACACCAACCGCAAAGCGCAGCACTGCCTCTTGCAGGCAAAACGTTACACACATTTCCTCTATTCCTGACATCATGAACCATATCATAAAATCCCTTTCTGCACTGAATGTAGAAGTAGTTTCCTAGTTTTACTTCTGTAAAAAGATTCCTAAAGTTCACTCCACCCCTAATGGTTGTCAGCTGCTGTACAGCCAGGGTTAGGAAGGCCCACAAACACACTGGATGAGCTTTTCTAAATATGTGTTCCTTCCACCTCCCAACACTTCACTTTCTCAGATGCCTGAATCAGTTCAATGCTCCTCAATGAAAGAGTACAGAAGCAGCTTTGGTGGTCCTGCAAAGGGCTTGGGTTCAGTCACAACAACAGCACTATCACTTATAACACTCATTTCAACTTCTACAACAGAGAAGGCACACAAAGTACCTGAAAATTCCAGCACTGTCAACTT